GTACCGTGATAATTGCACATTGGATATATATATATATATATATATATATATATATATATATATATATATATATATATATATATATATATATATATGTATATATGTATGTATATATTATATATATATATATATATATATTTTTTTTTTAAAGTAAAAATTGAACAGCCCTAACAAACAGCATTTTATATGATTAACATGAGATTAAGAGAGGGCTGTAAGAAGAAGAAGACTGCACAAAAATGTAGCAATAAGAATCACACCCCTGTGTTTGCAACCATGTAGATTAACCATTATTAGACTCTCATATTCCTTTCTGTTACACTTGTACCTGTGTTGAAATTTTAATTAGGTATCTATGGAAGAAGACTGCAGAGCAGAGGAAGTGTCCTTGTGCAATTCAGATGATTCTTAACTTCTAAACCGTCATCATCATCATTAATGTACCTTGCTGACTGGCACTGGCAATCAGGGTTCATATTTTGCAATCTCAAACAGCCTGTCCCAATTTGTGTGCTGAAATCTTTCTGTGCCATGACAAAAAGGACACTAAGAATCTGCTTAGTCTTAGTGCTTAGTCTTAGTGCTTAGTGCTTAGTCTTAGTCTTAGTGCTTAGTCTTAGTGCTTAGTCTTAGTGCTTAGTCTTAGTGCTTAGTCTTAGTGCTTAGTCTTAGTGCTTAGTCTTAGTGCTTAGTCTTAGTGCTTAGTCTTAGTGCTTAGTCTTAGCGCTTAGTCTTAGCGCTTAGTCTTAGTGCTTAGTCTTAGTGCTTAGTCTTAGAGCTTAGTGCTTAGTCTTAGTGCTTAGTCTTAGTGCTTAGTCTTAGTGCTTAGTCTTAGTGCTTAGTCTTAGTGCTTAGTCTTAGTGCTTAGTCTTAGTGCTTAGTCTTAGTGCTTAGTCTTAGTGCCTAGTCTTAGTGCTTAGTCTTAGTGCTTAGTGCCTAGTCTTAGTGCTTAGTCTTAGTGCTTAGTCTTAGTGATTAGTGCTTAGTCTTAGTCAAGGTTTCAACTTCACTGCAATCAGGTCAACCCATACTTGCTCCATTCCTGTGCCAGTGAAAATCAAATGAAATGTCCATCACCATCTCATTTGAAAAATTGGTGAACAATTAGTCCAGCACAATAAAGAAATATCTGCCAGCAGTAAATGGCAGTTGCTAGAGATGACAAAGCCAACAATCACCACCAGAAATGCAGTTTGTCATTGCTGGAAGTAGTCAGGCACAATAAGTTGGCTATACACACATAGAATAATTACATAATGTTTTTCACCAGCTCACACATAAACCGGTTACCGGCCATACTGAATAAAATTATTCAAACATTGCACAAATGAAAGGCATTCCAGTGATAAAAAAAACAGCTCACAGGGCTGCATGAAGCACTAAACTCAGAAGCTCAGCGACATTTTCTCGAATATGTTTTCCTCTCTCTCTCTCTCTCTCTCTCTCTCTCTCTCTCTCTCTCTCTCTCTCTCTCTCTCTCTCTCTCTCTCTCTCTCTTGTCTCTCTCTCTCTCTCTCTCTCTCTCTCTCTCTCTCTCTCTCTCTCTCTCTCTCTCTCTCTCTCTCTCTCTCTCTCTTTTGTCATAAATCTTTCCAGCTGTCACATGTTCCAGTATTTGTCTTCTCAGTGGACAAACATTCAATATAAATGTCTTTCTGATGTTTTGTGCTGCAGACTTTTTTGTCTTTTGTCTGTGCCTATCTCCAAGATACTCTAGACAGTATGATAACAAAGAGAAGATGGAAATGGTCTGACCAAATGATAAAAATGAATCCTGTTACACCTGCAAAAATAACTCTCTCTTGGGCATCAGAGGGAAAGAAGGGGGGTGCTCAAATAACAACATGGTGGCATACAACGGAAAGTGAAATGAGGGCTCCATCTCTAGCATGGAAAACTGCTAGAAAGTCCTCTCTGAAGCCTCATGTGCCACTAGGCATAAAGAGAACTGATGATGAATATGATGATGATGTGTCTACACTGAAAGACTGGCTACCGTGCAACCACTGCTGTATTTGGGAATACTGCATGGCGTGACTCCTCTGAATGTTGAATTTTAAGAATTGACATCGCAGCACTCGGGACTCTCCCTTAGGCGCTCCATCCCCACCTTCAGCAGCAAGCGAAGAGTTTCAACTTCTGATGGTACCAGTAACTGTCTGACTGCACATCCGTGCTTGTGACTCAAGTGAAAACCAAGAGAATGTTATTTCTTAAAATAAACCACCCACCACGGAAATCTAGCCCTAGTAATTAAAAATTATGAAATTGTTAAAACACATTCTTTAGCCTCTACACCACAGAGCCACTTACAATAATAATGTTCTACTAAAACAGCCTAATGTAGTTAAGAGTGCACGATGCTTCTACCCTTGCCAAAGTAGACACAATAAGATTAACATTTACTTACATGTCACTGAAGTTGACTCCATGCCTTTGAGCAGGTCTTTGTATGCTGGTAATATGAACAATAGAACAGTTTCTTAAAATTAAAGGCAGGAAAACATGATAAATGATAGAATAACAGATTACTATTCATATAAGTTTTTAAACATAAATGGACACATTAGGAACATCTAAACTATATTCAGCTTAAACATTAAGAAGATAAAAGTAATGTCAATATCAGAGAAAAAAAATAATATATAAATGTTAAATTTAAAAAAGAGTTTTAAAAAAAGGGAATTTTTTTTTTTTTTTAAAGAAAGAAAGAAAAATATTAAGCTACAACAACTAATCTCATATGGATAACATTGGATAGAAGATGTCTGTATTTAGATTAAAAACAGAAGAGAACAGAACGAGAAAAAAACAGCACTTATGAAAATGTTATAAAACAAATCTTTTATGCTGATTTACAAGTCTTTTGAGATGTCAGTATTTCTTAAAATATTCGCTGATATCAAACATATTGTTGATAAACTGTCAGATACTCAAACATATTGTTGATGAGCTTAGAAAAGCAGAAGAATCATACTCAAACATGTTGCTGATGAACTTAGAAAAGCAGAAGAATCATACTCAAACATATTGCTGATGAGCTGTCTGATACTCAAACATATTGCTGATGAACTTAGAAAAGCAGAAGAATCATACTCAAAAATATTGTTGATGAACTTAGAAAAGCAGAAGAATCATACTCAAACATATTGCTGATGAACTGTCTGATACTCAAACATATTGCTGATGAACTTAGAAAAGCAGAAGAATCATACTCAAACATATTGCTGATGAACTTAGAAAAGCAGAAGAATCATACTCAAAAATATTGTTGATGAACTTAGAAAAGCAGAAGAATCATACTCAAACATATTGCTGATGAACTGTCTGATACTCAAACATATTGCTGATGAACTTAGAAAAGCAGAAGAATCATACTCAAACATATTGCTGATGAACTTAGAAAAGCAGAAGAATCATACTCAAACATATTGCTGATGAACTGTCTGATACTCAAACATATTGCTGATGAACTTAGAAAAGCAGAAGAATCATACTCAAACATATTGCTGATGAACTTAGAAAAGCAGAAGAATCATACTCAAACATATTGCTGATGAACTGTCTGATACTCAAACATATTGCTGATGAACTTAGAAAAGCAGAAGAATCATACTCAAAAATATTGTTGATGAACTTAGAAAAGCAGAAGAATCATACTCAAACATATTGCTGATGAACTGTCTGATACTCAAACATATTGCTGATGAACTTAGAAAAGCAGAAGAATCATACTCAAACATATTGTTGATGAGCTGTCTGATACTCAAACATATTGCTGATGAGCTGTCTGATACTCAAACATATTGCTGATGAGCTGTCTGATACTCAAACATATTGTTGATGAACTTAGAAAAGCAGAAGAATCATACTCAAACATATTGCTGATGAGCTGTCTGATACTCAAACATATTGCTGATGAGCTGTCTGATACGCAAACATATTGTTGATGAGCTGTCTGATACTCAAACATATTGCTGATGAGCTGTCTGATACTCAAATATATTACTGATGAACTTAGAAAAGCAGAAGAATCATACTCAAACATATTGCTGATGAACTTAGAAAAGCAGAAGAATCATACTCAAACATATTGCTGATGAACTGTCTGATACTCAAACATATTGCTGATGAACTTAGAAAAGCAGAAGAATCATACTCAAACATATTGCTGATGAACTGTCTGATACTCAAACATATTGCTGATGAACTTAGAAAAGCAGAAGAATCATACTCAAACATATTGTTGATGAGCTGTCTGATACTCAAACATATTGCTGATGAGCTGTCTGATACTCAAACATATTGCTGATGAGCTGTCTGATACTCAAACATATTGTTGATGAGCTGTCTGATACTCAAACATATTGTTGATGAGCTGTCTGATACTCAAACATATTGTTGATGAACTTAGAAAAGCAGAAGAATCATACTCAAACAAATTGCTGATGAACTATCTGATACTCAAACATATTGCTGATGAACTTAGAAAAGCAGAAAAATCATACTCAAACAAATTGCTGATGAACTGTCTGATACTCAAACATATTGCTGATGAGCTGTCTGATACTCAAACATATTGTTGATGGGCTGTCTGATACTCAAACATATTGCTGATGAGCTGTCTGATACTCAAACATATTGTTGATGAGCTTAGAAAAGCAGAAGAATCATACTCAAACATAAGGCTGATGAGCTGTCTGATACTCAAACATATTGCTGATGAGCTGTCTGATACTCAAACATATTGCTGATGAGCTGTCTGATACTCAAACATATTGCTGATGAGCTGTCTGATACTCAAACATATTGCTGATGAGCTGTCTGATACTCAAACATATTGCTGATGAGCTGTCTGATACTCAAACAAATTGCTGATGAACTTAGAAAAGCAGAAGAATCATACTCAAACATATTGCTGATGAACTTAAAAAAGCAGAAGAATCATACTCAAACAAATTGCTGATGAACTTAGAAAAGCAGAAGAATCATACTCAAACAAATTGCTGATGAACTGTCCGATACTCGAACACTGTCATGAGTTGGGGTTGCAACAACTGTGAGAATACTTGATCTCAGAAGCTGGGGCACACTCTTCTCCACTGAATCAAACCACTTGCTGAAAATAGTCTCTTCAAATTTGCGCATGCTTCTGGCTACAGACAAGTACTTCTGGGATGCCTGAAAAACAAGCATCGAAGAATTAAGCAACCTTTTTCTTCTTCTTCTTCTTCTTCTGTCATCTCACTGATATCAGATTGTAGCCCAGTATCGTGGTTTTTCTGTATTTGTCTTGCGTTTCTTCTTGGGTGGCTTGGGCAATGGATTTGTTCATCTTTTTTGCAGGTTTCTATTACAGCATTTATCACTCTCTTTCTTGGTCTTCCTCTCGCCCTCCTCCCAGATGCTCTGCTGTAAAAAAGGTCACATGCAGTTTGGTCTGTCTGTATTCTCACTAGATGGCTGAACCATTTCATTCTTTGTCAATATAATCAAGACTTGGTCTTATTCCGACTTTCTCTGTAATGCCAGCATTCGTAACCCTGCCTCTTCTTGTGTTGTTAGTGACCTTGCAGAGACAGCACATTTGACATGTAGTTGAATTAAGCAACCAGCCACTGGTCAGAGGAACAAGCACTGAATACTAATGAAACTGCTGATTACAGCAACAAGTATTAAATGATAATTAAATTAATCAATAACAAGAAAAGCAATAATTGAATAATTTGTAAACTATTTGTTACAAAGGCAACCAATGAAGAATAATGAAACCATTTAGCAGAGAGACAAAATTATTACAGAGGCAACCATTGAATGACAGCATTGATATGCAAAGAAGAACAGATTATTTAACAAATATAGCACCACAGGTTGGATTACAAATCATTTAAAAGCCAAAATGATGTCAGAGTATCCCGTAAGTTTCAATGACATGGTGAAGCATCAGGTGACCCGATACATGTAACTCAAGTCAGGCACCAATAGGCTCTTGATGCTCCTGTTCCATCTTTTACTGGGTACTCATTCCCCTTGGTCTTTTCTCCTTACATTTGTGTGTGTGGGTATTTCACCCTCTGTGGCTGCAGAGCATTCTTGTCAGATGGTCAAATAATTTCAATGTTATTCTATAATTAATTATCAACTTAATTTCAGTCACTGTGTTCTCATTTCTACATTTGAAATATTTTAATGAAAATCACACTTAATAATAAAACATCAATAGCAAATTATTTTATCTGTCACTTGCCGGTTACCAATTATACATTTTACTAAGCTGCAAAGATGTTTTGTTATGTACCATTTTGCCAATGTCAGTGGACATCATTTCTTCCATGGTATTAAACCGGATGATACTAGCTTTGATACGATGGAACAGCGACCTCTCCCAGTAGATGCTGCCAGCTACTGGTGGGTATGCTCGGAAGACTGGTGGGTTGAGCTTCTGCTCCAGGAACAGGTTGTTGACCACATCAATCTGTAAACATTTAAAAGCAAATGTAAGAACTTTAAAAATCCTGAAAAGTGGAAGTGAAACATGGACAGTCAGCCGATTAGTAAAAACTTACGTGGAAGTGGCAGAAACACAATTTTACAGATGGGTGATGAGAACAGCCAGGGGAAATTAAAAGTCAAATTTACACAAGAAGAGAACTGATTACCCACATCAAAAGGTGAAAATCAACATTGTTTGGTCACATCATGAGAAGAAGAAAACTGTAATACATCATGATGGTAGGTAAGTTTAAGGTCAAAGGTCAATATGGCGGGTAAGTTAAAGGTCAATATGGCGGGTAAGTTAAAGGTCAATATGGCGGGTAAGTTAAAGGTCAATATGGTGGGTAAGTTAAAGGTCAATATGGTGGGTAAGTTAAAGGTCAATATGGTGGGTAAGTTAAAGGTCAATATGGTGGGTAAGTTAAAGGTCAATATGGTGGGTAAGTTAAAGGTCAATATGGTGGGTAAGTTAAAGGTCAATATTTAATTTCATATTAAAACTATATAATTCAGAGTTCAGTGTAGTGTTCAGGCAGTTACTTTGCCAGTGTGTTGGAATATTTATTAAAACAGAAAATGTAAAACTATTAAGTGCCTTGAAAGGAAACAGTAATGAAACAGTTAACACCTTGATGTTGAAACAATAATAGCGTGTAATCTTTCATCTCCATTAAACAAAGCTAGTATCAAGTTACCTCTTTATTATACTGGAGTATGATATTTCTGAACTTTTTTGACTCACTTCTGATGGCTGCCTTATGCTTTTAATTTGTGTGTATGCTAGTGGATATGCTGAAACTGCAGTCTATATCAATTTTTCTACAAGGGACAATGATGGACATTCTGTGTGTTTTTCACTGGCACGGGAATGGAGCAAATATAGGTTACCCATTTGCTATGAAACTAAAACTAAAATAAACAGATTACCAGATTGTTAATTAAAAAAAAAGGCTCTGTGGCTAAGTTGATGTCAATGCTTCGTAATGCCGGGATGCCGTGTTCGATCCCAGCTGCAGGACATGCGCCTTGCGTTGGTTTTGACAGTGGTATAAAGAAAGCCAACCATCCAGAAAGCAATGGCAAACAACTGGACGTAAATTTCCCTAGAAAAACCTCACAACAGCCAGGGGATGTTGGGGTTGGTTCTGCAACATCCTGTAAAGGATTCGCAACTAACCTAATAAATAAAAAAAATACAGATTCAACATAACAATATAAAAGGTGTGTGATGTTAGTCTAAGTAAAAAAAACTGCATAAGATGTGATATAACAGGTGTTTAGTATCATGGCATATATGAGAATATTAATGAATTCAGCATATAATGTGACACATTTTTACAGACTGCTGGCCAAATGGTTAACAACACTGGACCCTCATGCAGAAGACCCAGATTCAAATCCTCAGTAAGGTTACTGGTTTTTCTGTCCGGGGCAAAAATAAATGCATAAACTGCGTAGTCCGTCCATGGTGACAGTGTTAGCTATGCAGCCCTATATCCACAGGCTCAACCCTTCCTCTTCCGCTAACACTGCAAAGGTGGTAGTAGCAGTTAAGACTGGTCGCTAGATTGCTGATGTGGTCAGCACTATTTCAGCCCAAGTCAATTACAAAAATCCACCTTGATGAGGATTTGTTCCCAAGACGTTTACACCAGCAGCCAAGCAACTCATTAATTGCCACTGTGGCTTCAGTAAAAAGATGTATTATTAATTAGAGCTTTTTTTTTTTAAAGGAAGGTTTTAAGCTAAAATGCTACAGAAAGTTCTTTGAATACCATGGACCAAGAAGAAGAAGAACCTTGCCATCCTATATGATTTGAGCACTGAGGAGAACTGGCTCCCAAACAGCATCCTGTCCTGAAAACTGAGGTATTTTGGTCATGTTAGACACCATGGCCGCCTGGAGAGAACAGTGATGGAGGGTTGTTTTTGGAAAATGAGGCAGAGGCAGACTTCCACGAATGCAGATACAAGACACTGAAGATTGGCTATGAAAGCACATAAGGCTGCAGAATTGGCTAGAGAAATAACAACATTCTGTAAAGGGTCTGGTGATTGACTGATCTCATTATAAAATTTGTGATGCTGCCTTCAATTTGTTATCACATATAAAACATTGGTTTTCCAAAAGAAGATGTAAATGCACATCTAAAATCTTTTAATTACATTTTCATATGTGGTGCAGTCTTCTTCTTCTCTCTCCTTCTTCTTCTTCATATTCACTGGCTGTAAACTCTGGCGGAAGGTTCTGGTTGTTCCTCAATTTCTGGACTGTAATACAGTTCCAGAAACTGCGTGTTGCGTGAAAAGCTGTTTCACAGATCTGACTCATTTGCATGCAGACTGTTTATGTACTCTGACTTCAAAGGGAGCTCCCAATTACTCGACTCCTACGACATGCTTTTGGGTAGGCAGTGGGGCAGTTCTTGTTTTTCCCACAACGGCTTCCGGAACCCACATGGGGAGTGTGGTGCAATGATTTCAGTGAAAGGCGTGATGATAGTTAAAGCTCTGCTGTGTATAAAAGTATACTAGTGCCTGACCTGAGGTGTCAGCAGCCCCTGTGCTAGTTTTACAGAACTTCATGCAAGACTCCTGACACACACCCACAATATTCACCACGGATAATGGTTACAATTTGTCTAACCTCGTTGTTCATCATCTTCTTATTAATGTTCCCTGCCTGTAAACTCCAGCAGAGTATCTGGATGTTCATCCATTTCTAAACTTTGGTCTTATTTCAGACCTTGAATGTATATCTGTTTTACAGATCTGGTATATTTGTATGCAGACTGCTGGTGCCTTACTTTCCAGACAGATAACCTCTGACTTCAAAGGAATCACTCTTATGTCATACTTGTAAGGGGGTAAAAAGTCTCTTTTCTACGCCTTCAGGCGTATTGAGAATATAGGGCTAGACCTATATTTTTATAGACCAATGGGCACTTGGTGAGTAATGTGGTCAGATCATGCTGGCCGCCCTTTACTTCCCAGGACTGTACATGGTACCCATTCAAGGCTGGGTCGACCTGAAAGTCAAAGTCATTTTTGAAAAAGAAGTTCGGCTTTGTCATAACGCAAACCTACGACCTTCCGATCCACAGGCGGTCCTCCAGCCGCCAACACCACAGCGACTCCCTGTTGGGGGAAGTGGGCTATTATTTTTTTATCCCCACAGTGGGGTCCTGAAACTCAAACAGGGATGCCTGAACTGAGCTGCCAGGGAATCTCAGAGCTGGTTGCCCCCTAAGATGCAGTGTCCAGAAAATATGTAGCACTCATCGGCCTACAACCATTACATGATACCTTTCAGTGTGGCACATTTAGAACACAAGATGCTTATTTTATGGAGGGTGTCAGTCTCAGATATGTGGAGCCCTTTCTATGGATTTCTAAAGTGCACAGCCCTCATGACATTTTGCAGTATGATGACGTGGTAGCAGCTTATTCGAAAGGGATCTTTCACTTCAGCAGCGGTATGAGTGAGAGGCTCAATATAGGAAGTAAGACTGTGCAGGATGTCATGATTCCTTGGGTAAGCCCAGTACCGTAGCACCATGTACTGCATCAGTGGTATGAGTGAGAGGCTCAATATAGGAAGTAAGACTGTGCAGGATGTCATGATTCCTTGGGTAAGCCCAGTACCATAGCACCATGTACTGCCTCTGGATTTACGCATGCCTCCTTGTACACTCTTCCTAAGGGAATGCCTATATTTGCCTCTCCTATGCCTTGAGCGCGGACCAGTGTGCAAACAGCCACCCTATGCAGGTCCATTGAAGGCAACAGCTGCAGATGAGGGGACACAGATTTTACCACGGTAAGGAGGCTATGCAATGTCCCACAATGCTAACTTAGAGGGCTAAACCAGAAAAAACATACCTAGGAAAGCCAGGTGTCTCAGCTGAAAGGCTATGCTATCCACAGGAACAAATACAAATTTGTCACTGGGATGAACAGAAGAAGCAGAAGAAATGTGTAGGTGTCTTACCTGAAATGACTCATCAATAAAGTCTTTGGCTGCATCTTCAATCTCAACAACTCTCTTGTAGAACTTGGCTTTTAGTGCCTGCCAACTGGCATTTCGAGATGGAGAAAAGGCATCATATGGCAGCTGGCAAAATATAGTACACAAAGTTTACAATTAAATAGTGGTTAGTTTATTAGTTAGAGGTTTAAACAATTAATTTAGAAGGTTTCAATCTATGAACATCTGTCTTCTTATATCAAATTTAAAAAAACTTAGTAAAACAAATAAAACTTACACGTACCCTTTCAGCGTGTAAATTTCTTTAAAATTACCATACATAAACTTTTATTAAAAAGAAAAATATAATATTTTTCTTTGAAATTATATCTCAACTCTTTTGAGCCCCAAGAAACACATCACACTCTAATCACTCTGATTACAACCCAAAGGTCCAATCAGCTCGTGACAAGTGAAGGTTTTTAATTTACCACTGACCAGTAACAAAACATGGGCCGCTCAATTTTAACATCCTTTCCAGTTCTTTGTGTATTCTACGTGCATGCCAAAATGACGTATGGCTTTAGAAGACTTAAATTTAAATAAAGAACATGTTTATTAGATTTATCAGAAGTTAAGATAGATGTAAACTAGACTTGTTTCAGTCATTTATAGAGTCAAACTATGATGAGGGATAGCTCTAACCTTTTCCTCGCACAAAGGGGACAGCGACAGCAAAGTCAGCTGGCACGAATAGAATAAACATTAGTGAAAAGGTGATTTGTTTTTTTTTTAATGCATCAGTTTGTCAGTTCTTGTACTATTCTCCTAATTATTAAGGAACATAGCTTTAAAGTTACAGGCAAATTGAGTGTTATATAAACTTTGTTTTGTGTGAAGGTACTTACTGTATTGGGATATCAGTTTTTTTAAAACAAATAATTGTGCTCTGTTATGATGCTTCAAAAGACTCTGCAATAAGATCTAATGTACAGATTGAGATTATATTTTACTTATGCACTAAGTGGTTCATGTTTAATTGTGATTTATTTTAGATATACTTTAATGAGTTTTCCTTGAGCGCCATGGTGGTAAATGGAAACATCTTTATTTCATTTTTCGAAGTTCTGTAAACTTACTTCAATTTATTTAAGAATATTTAACTACAAATGCAATTATTTGTTGTAGCAGTATTCTATTATTATTCCCTAACAATCGCTGGTCACTCTCATGAAAATATGTGTATGTTGCAGGGCAGCTGAATCTGTATAGTATGTTTTAATGTGTTACACTTGTGAAATTTAAAAAATTGCATTACCACCTCTTGGGCCTCTGATGCTGAATCTCTCTGGGACTGGAGTGTTAACAAATGAGGAAGAGAAGAAGAAGCAGAAGAAATCTGGTGTCTTGACCAGTTTTTATAAAAATCCAGGGGGTTTAAACATATGACCACCAAGCAGGGGCAAGCCTGATAGCTCTTGCATCATCGCAGCCCTCACTTCACTCAAAAGTTGGATTTTCCGTATTTAATGTCATTATTTGGCGCAAAGGTGACTTTTTTTTTTTTTCAAATATAATGAGAAGTAATCACTAAAAACAAAAAGAACAAAGAAATAACTGAGTTTAGAGAATAAAGTGATGTTATCATAATTTTTTTTTTTTTTTTTTTTTTTTGGCACAATGAAAACAATTTGATTTTTTCGTCCTAAAAATACTGTTTGTTTGTTGTTGCAGATATAATAATATCCAGAAAATCTACAAACTATGCTGTTGGAACCACTACCAAAACTATTTTAAAGGCATACTGGCCACTGTCCAAAGATGTAACGTCATAAAAAAAAAAGCCACAAGAGCTAGAATACCAGCTTTCTCGTGGTGACAGTTTTAACACAATTAGCAAATATCATCATTATCTTCTTCTTATAGTCTATGCTGTACTGGGTTAGTTATTTTGCCTGTCCACCAAAATGTATCTATATAGAACTATAAACAACTCTTTCTTACCCAAACTGATAAAGATAATTTGAACAACATTCTTCACAATGTGAAATTTCATTTTCATTTGGGCTATTTGACATTTTACTGATTTAACTTTGGGTTTTTTTTTTTTTAATGTACATGCATCTACTTTTATTACTATACCTAATTATTTAAACTTACTGACTTGCATCAGACCTGTCCCTTTTACTGTGCTTTTGTATTTTGGAGGACATGTTTTTTTCTTTGTTATTTCTATTACTTTTGTTTTTTAAATATTCAAAAATCAGTACTTAGTTTCCTATCATAGCATAATGTTATAAAAGGTACTATTATTTACTTTATAACTATAAAATACCACAATACAGTAATGGTTTTGTCTGTTGTAATTTTTTCTCAATAATAGGTTGAAGTGTGTTGTTTCTCTGTAGAATTTGTTTCTTTGTAGAAATTCATGGAACATAATTATTACATTTTATACTGCCATATTCTGCTGCATCCACTATATTTCCTGTTCTGTTTAACCAGGTCTGTTTAAAGAAAACAGTTTAAACAACAACACAAATGTTCCCAATGATTCAAAAATCTCAGTTCAAATTATCTAAACTCTACTCAAGACACATAAATCCAGAGATCTGCACTGTTTTCCACCGTTAATACCTCTGCTCAGGTAACTCATTTTGCCAGCCAGTTCTGGCTGATATCATCCTTGCAAATTTGGTTTGCTGATATTTCCTGGCCATATTAATCTTTAATCTAAATGCTCAAAGTTTGACTACACAAAGTTTTAACACAATTTTTTAACTGGTCATCTCTAGATGTTTGTATGTGGGTTCCCAGGCTCTATTGTGGGGGGAAACCAGAATAGACCCACTGCCTCCTACTGTTGTGGAACACCAGGAACAAAACCCTGAGTATACTTAACATTTGATAATTCTCATTACTAAACTGTTGTTCAGATCTCTAAATGTCAATATTTGTTTACCTTGTTGAAAATGCTTTTAGCCATTCCTATTCTCCTTATGATTTCCATTTTACTTCTTTCATAATCTGTTTTTACATGCCCAAGATAGAATAAACTGTCACTCATTATTTGTTCTAATACCTCCTCTGTGTTTTCTTCCAGAGCATGCTGGTGTGTAGGGAAAGGAATAAGCCAAAATACTGGCTGCTTTTTCTGCACCATTTAGTGGTAAAGTAATGCTTCACATGTTGTAAGGGCCCGTTGGAAGAGAGTAAACAGTGAGGAGGCACACACACACACACAAATCACCACAGATTGAAGAGAATGGTGCAGCGAGGAGTGACGAGGGAATCTGGCCGACGTTCAACACCAGGGCCAAACATTTTATGTTAAATGATCACACTACACATTATTGCTTATTACGTACCAGTGCAATGGGCTCTACCAGCTCATAGACTTGTTCCAGAACATCATCTATCCGATCAGCATCTCCAGTGACATCTTTCAACTCTTGGCTGAATATGTTGTTGAACTCCTCAATCACCTGGGATGAACATAATCACACCACTAAAAAAACCATGTATCTACGTCATTCTATTAAAGATAATCAACAAAACAGTGATTTCACAAACAGTTTTTAGAATTTGTGGACCAGGAAAAACACTGACATCCAGCATGATCTGAACATCAAGGAGAATTGGCTCATCGACAGCATCTTGTCCTGAAAGCTGGTGTATTTTGGCCATGACAAGCGCCCTAATGGTTTGGAGAGAATAATGACGTAGGGTGTAGTTTCTGGACAGTGAGACAAAGGCTGACCTCCACAAATGTAGATAAGGACATTGAAAATGCATTGGCTATGAAAAGCACATAGGGCTGGAGAACTGGCTAGAGAAAGAGAGATTTTCAGGTGTACTGTGAAGTAAGCAACATTCTGTAAAGGACCTCCTGACTGGGTGACTTAAAATAAAGTTTAAAAAAAAAAAAAAGTAAAGAACCCTTTTCCACGCCTTTAGGCATATAGGGCTAGACCTATATTTCTATTGACAAATCAGCACAAGATGGGTGATGTGGTCAGCATCACGCCGGGGATCTTTACTTCCCGAGACTGCACCAGGTACCCACTCAAGGCTGGATCCACCTGGGAGTCAAGGTCATTCTTTTTTAAAAAGTCCAGCTCTGCCAGGGAGCGAACCCATGACCTTCTGATCCAGGGTGAGCATCTAGCCCCTCCGCCACAGAAAACTTCCCTGGGTGACTGAGTACTAGAGTAATTTCACAACTGTATGAAGGGTACATATGATTCAGATAGTCATACAACCTATCAAACAGTCGATACCATCAACAGAATGGAACAGGAAATTTTTTTTTTATCTGGCTTGTGTGGCTATTTTATTAAAAAATAACCCAAAATTAGTAATCCTAAATTTTCTGGTTAGCCCTTTCGCTGCTATGGACGAGATAACTCGGCTGCCCTTTTCTGTGCCCTCACTGCTAAGGACGAGATATCTCGTCCTCGACATTTTTTACAGATTGCTAAGAACAGTAATTCTCAGGGGTGAAATAGCAATACACATTACCTTAATCTGATCAAATTGACCCGTTTACATACAATTAAAACCCTTGTCAAGTGAGTTTAGGCGTATTTAGATGCATTTCACGTTATCCTGTTGTTTTGTTATGATAGAAGCATTGTCGGTGAACGGTAATTTTTTTGCCCTGAAATATATTTCTGGTTTTGCTTTAGTCTAAATTTTTTTTTTTAGATACAAAATAACAAGAACATTTGTTTAAATAAACAAGAATTAATAGAGTTTCTTTCAAGGAGTAGTAGTAAGGATCACTTTGAAACGTGTGAGTTATATGAGCTGGGTTATCTTCGCGGTATGCCAGCGGACACGTGTACTTCTGGCTGTGAACAAGACTGACCAGTGACTATATGACCTAGCTATCTACATCGACTGGATTTGAAACGGATCCAAAATAATCAAAATAAAGATAGGGTCATGTACTGACATGATGATTAATATTAATGTTAATTATATACTATACAACTGACATAAATGTGTTTGTCTATTAAAGTGTACAATACTGGTCTTTTTTTCAGTTCATAGTTTCATGTGAATTTCTAGTGTAGTTGGTATCACGTCTGCCTTACAATCGAAAAAAGTCCAGCGTTCAACCCCTACGTGCTGTTTTTTTTTTTAATTAATTATTTTAAATGCAAATTTTAAATTTAAGCTCTTAGCATTTTCGGCAACAGATCACCAAAGTAATAATTAATTAAACATCCTGTCATGTGCGTTCAGGTGGATTTAGATGCTTTACATGTTATCCTGTTCCTTTGTGAAGCGTGGTTGGTGTACTGTGCACATTCATTATATAAAGTTGTTGTGGGGAAAAACACACCTGTTGCCGAATTTCACTTAATGTTAGTAAGAGAAATTCTACAGAAATATTGCAAGGAAAAGAAAAAAGTGTAGGAGGAAAAAAAAGTGAAGATCTGCCACTTCGTTTAGTACAAAGGCATTTCCCTTCAATAATAGAGTCCGTAACATCACAGAAAAAATTCCCAACAAGAAAGTGTGTGCTATGCGCAAAAAGCAAAAAACGACGGGAAACCAGATGCATGTGCAAGGAATGTGATTTGGCATTGTGTGTCGCACCTTGTTTTGAAATATTTCACACACAAAGATATTATTAATAATAATAAAAACCATGTATTTGCTTACTAAAGTGTTTTGTGTTTGCTTTGTTTTTTTTTTTTTTTTTTTTTGTAAATGAGTTTTCATGGCGTTGTAATAGTGCGTCTGACTTGTCAGCGCAAAGTTCAACCACACGCCTTCAACGATTTTTTATTTTAGGTGTACAATTTTTACCTTGTGCCGCAAGTGCGTCTTCTGCTTTTGAAGGAAAAAATGGTATTCAGCACAGGGGGTAAGATTAGCTCTCGCCTGGCTTAGCACAGTGGTTACGTTGTCTGACGGAGGGCGCAGCAGCGAAAGGGTTAAAACAAATCTTGTTTCTGACAGCAAGATAGACTAACAAAAAACTCTATATAACTTCACAACCTTTTAACATAAACTCCAATATTTTGCATTTTTCACACCAAATTTAACACAGAACCAATTTTCAAAATAAAAATAAAAAAATAAAAATGTGTAAACTTGTTGTACGTCATATCAGTGTCAGTAGACTGGTGCAAACAACAAAACAATCTTCTATCTGACAAATTTTTTTGTTTTTTTTCAATGTGAATTTTTTGTGTGGCTGTTTGCCATTTTGCATGAAGAATTTTGGATGCATTATGACTTAACTGTCACATTCAAAAAGCCACACACACACAATTTTTTTTCTCCAAAACTGCTTATTGTGGGAATCACACCCGGTAAAAATAGAGGATTGCACTATAAAATGATTTTCACTAAACTCTGTCACAGAGCTGGAATGTACACAGTCTATACACTAACAAGCACATCTAACAAAACATACCTAAAGTACGTACATGACAGAATATACAAAAACTAATGTAACATCAAATACTCACCTGTAAATATTTTCATCTTCACCTTCCAGTTTAAAAACCATAAACAAAAATCTCCCATGGCATCAAAAATATTCCCCAAACTGTGCTATCATGTTGATTCCCGATCAGCCAGCATTACCAAAAAAATGCATATTGTGTTACCGACATAACAGCACATCAAACAAATTTGCAAACAATTTACTTCAAAAAATACAGAGTTGTTTCCCTTAAAGAAACAGAAATGAATGGACTCATGGTTTTAACTATAATTATTACAAAAGTTGCAACATTTGGCGATGAGAATCCACAGCTACTATCACAGAGGGTACGATCAAAGTAGCCAGGCGTAACCATCAGCGGATAGCATAACATACGACTTGGCGGTCAGTTGGTAAAGAAAATAATACAAAAACACATCAATCAAAATAAAATGCAAGCTCAGCCAACAAGAATCTCTTGTACCTGGGCAATATCATGCAAATCCTGGCAAACGTCAGCTATATAGTCTGAGCGGTCAAAAAGCCTCTTGCGGTCAAATTCCCACCTGACATCTCTACCAGATGATTCAATCTTTGCTCGGATAGTGAAGTATGAATTCTTCCAAGTGTGAAGCATTTTCACTGCCTGGGATGTGATGCCTTTAATGGCCTGGGTGTGAAGTCTGAGACAGTTTTAAGACAGTAAAAATTAAAATAAAAAAAAATGAATTTAAACAAAATTATAAGAACTCAATTCATTCATTCATTTGTGTGGTGTGTGTGTGAGAGTGCATGCATGTGTGCATGGGTGTGTGTGTGTGTGGGTGGGAGGGTGTGAAGCATGGATGTATGTGTGAGTGTGATAATTGATACTGGAACCATAAGGATGTAGCAAATAACATTCTAGCATGAAAAATTAAACTAATTAAATTAGATATAACAAATAGCCATACTAAGCAACCCCTGATTGGAGCAAACAGGTAAATTTAAAATGAAATATAAAGAAATATAAAGAAAAATCACTCACTGGAACAAAGAATGCACATCTATAACTCTGACGACTCTTTCACACAGTTCCCATGCAATCCGTTCCATGAGTGGCACCATCAGCTCATCAGTGTTGTAGTGCCGAGAGATGATCCATATCATCCGCAAGGCATTCATCATAGGTGGGATTGTTTCTGTGGCTGACTGTTGGCAATAAACAGCAGTAACTGATGAATCTTTATACTCTAAGTAGCTGGCATTTGACAAGAAGTGAGAAATTACACAGAAACAGCAGAGATATGGTTTTATACATGAACAATGAGAATACCATGGACAGATAAACTTTTCCCATGTAGATAGGCACCAGAGAATACTAAACACATCCTGCAGACTTGCTCTGTACATGCATTTGGGAGATCAGAGGCATAGCCAGTTAGCATTCCAGTAAAAACTAAACTGTATTGATATTTGGAGACCATGTGTCACACAACAACCTTAATAGAGTCCTTCTGGCCTCTCCATCAGAAACAACTGTAAGCTCTCACAGAAATTGCTGGTTATTTTTACACTTCTGGACTTTTCTCTTATTCCAGAATGTGAGTTTTGCACACACTTCTTTGCAGAATAAGTGGTTCCTCACCTCTCCGGCAGATGTGCTCTGACATCAAAGGAAACAAAACCTGATTAGTCACCTTGTACAACATGCTTGTTAAGAGGCAGTAGTTCTATTCTTTTTCCCTCCGTCCTCCTCCCACACAATGAGATAAACACAGGGCAAACCCGGTAAAAATTGGGTACCAGAAAATGTTTTTGGAAGTAAATGCATTACATTGATCACACTGCCAACCAGTGCCATCAGATGATTGTTTTTGAAAATTTTCTGCAAAGCAGCCAAACCTTGTAGATGAATATTCTATTTAAACTTTAACTCTTTGCCCCCCTCCCCCCAAAAGTTTTTTTATTGCTCTATACATTATAGACTACTTTTACTGCATTATTCTCATTGACTTTTTAACATTAGCCAAGATGGTGTATATCTCTGCTCTGAATCTACTGTCCATAAGTTAGAAGCTATAAACATCCTTAGATCCAGTCTGTTTTAAAGTAATATATGGTCTCACATAGAACATCTAACACAACAACTGTCCAGGTAATGAGCTAACTATGATTAACCTCGCGGAACGATATAAAACTGAATAAAAAGTAGATCACAGTATGAAAACACAAAAGAAAAGTGAATGTTTCGGCTACCGAGCCTTTACCAGCACATTACATAAATCAAACAAAACCACATTAAAATCTCTCAACTGATGTATTCAGAAGCAGCCATGTTGAAGTCTTGCCAGTGCAAGGATTATACCTATGATTAAAACTGCAACTATTTTAGTAATTCATTATTGTTAACTGCAATTATTTACTAAGATATACTTCAGACAAACATATATACATCGTCATACCTGAAAAGTGACTCCAAACTTAATATTTCTGAAATGTCTTTCTAGGGTGCTAAGAAAACGGACATTGTCCTTGGCTTCTGTGGCATACTTCATCAAGTCCCTTCGGGTGAATTCAAAATCCCCCTCGGTTTTCATATGAAGAGTCAACATATACTGGATCTGGTCAGACAAGATGACATTATAGAACAATCAATTACAGTATTAGTTAGTTGCATGTCCGCTTAGCACATTGCAAACTAATGCCAGAATTTATGGGCATTTGTGTTGTTTTACTAAGAATTTTTACTTTAAGTAGTCCATTCTTTCTGAAAGGCACACAGCTCAACCATTCTCAAAAATCAATACAAAAAAGGGTCTGCCATCAAAGTGCTTGCAGCTGACTCTGAATACCGGGAAGTCAGGATCAGTATTAAACTGCATTCACAACCTTTAAGACAAAAACACCAACAAGAATACACGAATGGTTTTAAAAAAAATTTCAACTGCTGTTAAAGAGGTTTACAAGGTTGGGCTTTCATGCAGGAGACCTGAGTTCAACCGTCAGGAGGGTGATGAACATTTCTCTGTCAGAGGCAAAAATAAACATCCTGACCTGCACAATCTGTGGTGACAGCAACTAGCCATGCAGGCTCTAATCCTTAGGTCATCTACACCACCCTAAAAAGCAATAAATACAGGCAGATAGCTGTTGAAGCAAGAGTGACTTTCTTGCTTGACTTTAAAGCAGTGTTTCCCAACATGCAGACTATGCCCAGTGGAGGGTGAGGGGAGGGGATTACATAGAGGACATTTGAATTTTAGAAATTCATAGGTGAGGCATGATAACTAGACAGTGTAATCATCTAAACTCAGGCCACATCCAAGTCGATAATATGAAAATCAAATGAATGGAAACAAATAAGTACTTAGGTGCAAACTTAACTCTTTGAGTCCCAAGGAATGCATCGTGTTCATAGGTTCCTTCCTAGAATCCCAATGAACGCATGATACACCGATTTTATTACTTTCTCTACTACCCCCTGGGCCTGTGATGCTAAACCTCCTGGGACTCAAAGAGTTAACTGCTCCAACATGCTGAGAGAAGAAATACAATCTAGAATACAATCTGGAAATAAAGTGTACTATGCCCTTTAACATCTGCTAAAGTCAAAGTGTGTGTCTCGCAACACCAAGATCAAAATTTTAAAAAGTTGATAAGACCAATTATTTTATATGGCTCTGAAACTCAGAGCACAAATAAAAGCGATGAAGCCTAATTACAGGTTTTTGAAAACAGAGTCTAATGACAAATCTTTGGACCTATCAAAGACGCTTACAGCGGGGAATTGAAAATGAGATGCAATAATGAAATTCATAATTTGTTTAAATCACCACTGATCACTGGCATCATGAGAACTAATAGACTGAAATGGTTGGGGCATATTGAGAGAATGTCAGATGACAGAGAAGTGAAAACTGTATACACAAGGGAGATGAATAGTCATAGACCACAAGGCAGACCAAGAAGATGATGGAGAGAAAATGTCCAGACAGACCTGCAAACACTTGGTGTCACCAACTGGAAAAAGAAGGCGAACCAGAGAGATGGATGGAGGCCGGTGATATCTGCAGCAATGAACCTCAAGGGCTCGGAATGCTGAAGAAGAAGAAGAAGAAGAAGAAGAAGATAGGTGAGGCATGTCACACAAAATATTTTGGGAAACACTGGCCTAAAGGTTGCGGATGCATTTTGAATCTACTTATTTGAGTGTAAGTCTTCTGGAGATTTTTATGTTTTGACTGAAATCACAGAGTTTATACTTTGTGCAATACTGCCAGCTGGTGGTTGGCCGGTCAGCAGGGAGCAGGGAGAAAGAGTCAGATACGTTTAATCTTGGTGCAATAAAGTCAATGCTCACACCTGTAATCACCTTTGCTGGAAAAAAAAGACATAAAAACAAAAGTTTAATTAAACTATGTTGAGGTCCACTGTTGTTGATATTACCTGCCTCCACTCATCTCTGTGATTAGCCTTCTCTTTCCAGTTAGTAACTCTAAGTGTTTGTTCATGTGTCTGTATACTATCAATCCACTGTCTTTTTGAACGTCTCATAATCTACCCCCATTCAACCTTTATGCACACACCGTTTTTTCTTCTTTGTTATTTGGCATTCTCTCTATATGCCCTTATTTGGCATTTTCTCTATATGCCCTTATTTGGCATTTCTTTATATGCCCTTATTTGGCATTCTCTCTATATGCCCTTATTTGGCATTTTCTCTATATGCCCTTATTTGGCATTTTCTCTATATGCCCTTATTTGGCATTTCTTTATATTCCCTTATTTGGCATTCTCTCTATATGCCCTTATTTGGCATTCTCTCTATATGCCCTTATTTGGCATTCTCTCTATATGCCCTTATTTGGCATTCTCTCTATATACCCTTATTTGGCATTTTCTCTATATACCCTTATTTGGCATTCTCTTTAAATGCCCTTATTTGGCATTCCCTCTATATGCCTCAATCATTGCAGTCTAATTTCCCTTTTTATGCCAGCAGTAACCAGTGGTAGTGGTGATTTAAACAGATTGTGAATGTTGTTGTTTCTCAAGTCTCCATTCTCTGCCATTTTCATCTCTGATGTGTCTAAATGTTTTTAAAACACAAGCAGTTCAATCATCAACTTAATTGTCTTACATGTCTATCTTTATGTTGTCTTGTGTCAGTTTTCCCAGGGTTCTGGCCACATCTTTCCAATGTTATTTTAGCCCATGCTAAGTTGCTGGTTATAAAATCTTTTTTTTTTTACAACAAATATATGATCTTTTATAGTCCTATCTTTGTGATCTGCATTGAGTCCCAAGGAACGCATCACGCGCTAATTTGTTACTACTTGTGAAGGTTTTTTAATTTACCACTTATCGGTAATTACACGTGAACCGCTCAATTTAAACTTCCTTTCACACACGTGGAGTGCATTCGTTTGGATCTGGTGAGTTTTTAATGCTTTAAATCGATATTTGTGTGGTCTACTACGTTACCAAACAATTATCTGAAAACAATATGTCCGATCAGTCATCGTCTTCACGCCCATCAAAGCGATTTACTGCTTTAGAATCATCATATTTGATAAAACAGTGGATCGATTAAAGTAATGTGGAGTTGGATAATGATAGCAGCGACGTGAAATTTCCCCAAACCGTTGACGAGTCAAGTTTTGATGAGGATTGTGCGTAATTTACCTCCTGCTAAGAGGACAAAACTGACTTATTCTGCCCTTCCCCGGGCCTCTGATGCAAAACCCCCTGGGACTCAAGAGTTAATAATTAAAAACTAAATATATATTTTTTACATTGCTGAATCCCTAAAAGTTTTTTTTTTAAAAATAATATTTATTTTTACAACGTATTTAACTCTTGTGTTGACTTGATTTTATTAGCTCACCTCCCCAATGAAGTGTAGCTTCATGTGGGTAGTTGGTTCCTTTCTGTAACTGCTATTAATTCTTCTGAAACTGCAACTGAAAAGTCGTTCGCAATCAAAATATTTGTGACAGTATACTCACAATGGGATCATTAAGTTGTTCAGCAACAGAGTGCAGAATACTGTCTCGATCCCTCCAGTACTTCAGTTCCACCAATGGACCATCCCCAACTCGTGGCTTGCTGATTGTGGCTTCCAGAAGGGTGTCAACCTGTGTTGGAGATTTGGTATACATAAAGCTGCTTCTTCTTCATCTTTATTTCCCCTTAAATGAGTGGTTGCCATGTTGCATGTTGCATTATGAATAAAAGTTAGGATTCAACATCTGTCTCTGTCAGACAAAAATCTCTGATTTTGGCAAATTCTTAATTATTTACCTTTAATGACCTGCTTGTTGAGGGTCAAGCAGTTTTTTCCCACCCACTAACTCGCAATGGGGACCTAGAACCCACACATGGAAATCAATTAAACAAAAAAAGTATAATGAGATTAAAGGAAGAAGGAACAAGCACAAACATATGTACACAATTCCCCAAAGAACTTGGGTCAGGTGAACATGCATTAAATAAGTTAGAAATCTGAATATTAGACAATCAACACACAATGGACGATGTGGTCAACATCATGCCAGCTATCTTCACTTTCTGTCATATGCTGAACTCACTTTTTTGTTCATTGAGGTCGGAGGTATGATCGCCTATGCCAGTCACCAAGGCGCTAGCTGATGATGTTGACAGAGAAGAATGTAAACGGTTCATGCTACTTGGGAGTTGTGAGATGGGTGTTTCTAGAGATTCATTGATAACAGCTGTCTCCATGGGTATTGTGAGACTCAAGTGTGACCGGCCGATGAACGTGAACTCGTGACAATCTCAATGCTTCGGGATCTTAAAAATAGAGTGGACACCAAGATGGTGACAGCCAAACATTTTTTTCGCCACTGCTGGAAGGAAATCACTATACTGCGTGGAAGTGATTGTTTCTTGTCAGGTTCTGACACGCGACTGGTGTCAGGAAGACTCGGTGAAGGAAGTCTCTAGTCAGTTATTATGATTATGTAAGTGGTTAGCTGTTGTAGGCTACTGGTGACCCAAAGTGTGGGCGCATATCTGAGGCATTTATTAAAGGCTACTGGTGACCCCAGGAGTTGGGCTGTAGGCTGCAGGTGCTTATATTGTGGACTCACGTCAAGTCGAGGCCAGGTCTTGCCCTCAGAGGTGATGCCACCTTGAAAGTATACCAATGGGTATCTGGGAGGAGTTGGTGGACAGCAGTTATGTAATCACCAATTCATCTTCATTGTCATAATTTGTTTGTAAAAAAAGAGACTGATGCACTATTACAGAGATGACTTTTAACGTACTGTTGTTTTCACTGTAATGGGTGTTGGCAGAACGATGTGACTATGTGTAACTGTGTTATCTAAGCATTCTAGGGTAGGGACAGTCTACTTGTGAACTTTCCTATACATATGTGTGAAGTATAATCCTTCACACTTTGATAGATATGCTGTCCATCCACTCGGACCCCATATAACACTTCCCATGTACAAATGTTGGGCTTGGTTAAACTATAAACTCTATGTTTAATTATAATTTTGAATTTATGTGAAACCAAGATTAAGGGGCTGTGGTCATGTGTACATTAATTGTAAACATACAGAAAACATACTTGCACACACACACTACTAATTGGTACACTAAAGTATGACTCTATGCTAACAGTAATTTATTCCAGTAGTACCTGGTGTTGAAATGTATGAATTGTTTCATGGATAATTTTCATTGATTCCTCATTTTTGAAGTCAACTTGTGGCTTGCCAGTAAGTCGTATCATGGGAATCTTCAGCTTCAGCTGCATGTTAAAGAGAACAAAATATTAAGTTACACAATAAGTGATTTAGAATCATGGTGCCATAGAAAATAATACATTAGTTTTCAAATTTGTTTTTGGATTTCCAACCCATGTGTGCTTCTTCCTCCTTTGTTGAGATTTATGATTCCTGTTTTAACTGTTGATAAAGACTTTGATCAAAATGTGATCTTCTATTTTCATGCATCTTTTTCTTTCCATTTATTTAGTTTCTTGGTCACAGAATGTGTTTCGTGAATGTACTTATTATTAGACTGACAATTCACCTTTCAGATTTAAGCTTCATTAGGCAAAATACCAATAACTTAGGGATTGTTTAAGCTGCCTATCATTCTGAGTCTCAAAAAGTCTCGTGATTGAGAAAACCAAATAGATATCTCTAGGGAGGATCCTTTGCAAGAATGAGAGCTGGTCACCATAATGATAACCCAGTGTAGGTAAGTGCATTCATAAGTGTCACAGTTTTATATAATTACTATAAATACCCTTCTCCTCAACCGCCACTATGTATAAAATTATTTCGTCACCATTCTGAAACGTCTATCTTGCTTTTTATGAGTTGACTCTTTGCAACCACACTGCCCCCCCCCCACCCCACCTCACCTCCCCCCCCCCACCCCCCCCCCCCCCCCCCCCCCCATGTCACTGTTAGTCAGATAAATTTCTGGTTCCGATAAACACAGACTGAAGTTTGTATTCTGAGCAGAAAGATGGTACACAGTTTCCTTCAGGACGACCAACGTTATGTAACTGAATACCTTTTTTGTAGCTTCTGAATTTAATCCAGCTATTTTCATGTCTTTTTTGTTTTGTTTTGTAGATTCAGAAATGGCACAATGCCTGTTGTCGCAAAATTTGTGGTGCCATTATGTGATTAAAATTGATCATGTGTGCAACTGCTGATCTGTTGGTGACTTCTGCTATACCATCCATGATGAACTGCATTTCTAATGTCGGACTGTTTGTGTTAGCACTTCTGATGGCTACTGTTTTAATGCGTGTGTATGCTAGTGCATATGCTGGGACAGCAGTCTGTCAATCTTTCTACAAGGAACTGTGATAAACATTCTGTGTGTTTTTCACTGGCACAGGAGTGGAGCAACTATGGGGTTACCAATTTGCTATGAAGCTGAAACTAAGATTACCAGATTATTAGATGTCTTTGAATTTCTGTTTTGTTTAGTATCATGAAACACAAGAATACCTGGCAATGATGCCAGTATTCATTTTTTACCATTAAAGTTTTCTTATTCTTCTTCTTCAGCATTCAGTACCATGAGAATCACTGCAGCAGATATCATATGCCTCCATTCGTCTCTGTGACTGGGCGTTCTCTTTACAGTTGGTGAATCCAAGTGTCTATAGGTCTGCCTATATCTTTTGGTCTCCACCATCTTTTTGGTCCAGGCATCTTGGTCTACTGCCATTCAACTCTCTTGAGTACACTGTCTCTGTCTCCCTGTCATCTGCCATGCTCTCTCTATGTACCCCACCTATTTTAGTCTAATAGTCTTTTATTAGTCAATTAGTTATCTTCTGGCTGTATTAATATTCATTGAAAATAAAGCTTCCCTTTTCGTTTCATTGACAGAAAAATTAAAATAAATATTCATTTTGGGTTCATCAGAATTTTCTTTAGGAGAACATGTTTAATTTCACTTCCACCAAAGTGACATCTTAACTCTTTAAGTCCCATCGAGTCCCACGGGGTTTATCATCACAGGCCCAGGGGGTAGTAAATAAAGTAATAAAATCAGCGCATCATGCATTCATTGGGCTTCTAGGTAGGAACCTATAAACATATGATGCGTTCCTTGGGACTCAAAGAGTTTAGCTTTTTTTTTAAAATAATTTTTATTAATCAGCTCTAACCTCTAGTGGAAAGTTCTGGTTGTTCGCTGACTTCTGGACTTTGGTTTTGCTTCTGAACCAGAGTTGTGCATTCACACCCATTTATAGATCTACCTTATGTGTGTGTGGATTGTTGGTCCCTTGCCTCCTGAGTGATGCACTCTGACTTCAAAGGACACTGACAACTTTTATGACATCTTGTCTAGGAGGCAGTCAAATTATTCTCCCTGCCGCCCCCCTCCCCCACCCCTCAAAAAATGGACCCCACACCTGGAACCTTTTGGCTAAATCTGCAGTCACTGTGTCATCCATAAATAATCAGTATCCCTAATGGAATACTCTACCTTTCCCTTCAGTTCAGACAACAATTTGTCTGTTTCATGCATGAACTTTTGAAGCCCAACGAGGAAATCATCTCGGAGGTGAGCAGAAGTGGTAGAGCTAGCTGCAGCAGAAATCTAGAAGGATTTAACACAAATATCATTAGCAGAAAGACATTATTCGGTAGCAAGTGCCACTGAGGAATTTGCAAAATGCAGACAATAACTAATACTCAAACCACCAGTAAGATTTGTCTGTTAGTATCCTCTTCATGTCGTTAACACATGAGGCATTCACAGGTGATTTCCAGTGCTGTCAGGCTGCTGTTTTTCTGCCTATAGTATCCCATATATCTCCACTGTTCTAGGCTACTGTTTTTCTGCCTATAGTATCCCATATATCTCCATCGCCTTCAGCTGTGAGCACCCTATTGCAGCTGCTACAGAGTCAACCTTTACTCGCCTGTCACCTCTAATCATTTCCTCCACCTGATGCAAGGATGCATTTGTTTCAATCTCAACAGGACGACCAGTTCGGACTTCATAAACAATCATACAGCCTCACTGAGAAAATATTTTACCCAGCTATGCACCACATTAAGGGATAAACATTTGTCAGCATAAATAGGAAGCATTTCATCATGAATATCCTTTGCAGGCAGCCCTTTTGCCCCAAACAAAAACTCACAACAGCACGTTGTTATTTGAGTGTACACTCCATAAGTATAGTCACTATTTTGTTTCTGTGTTGCAAAAGTGTATGCAACACCTATCGCCACCTAACGAACAGAGGCATAAAGTTCAATGTTGCTGTCACCTAATGACACTTTGAGAAACCACCAACAACATTTTCCTACCATCCCATAAACATATGTGAATTACTAACTTCCCCTCATACATTTTCAACAAGGCAGAAGCGAGCTAAAGCTGTTTACCTTGCTCTGATTGTAGATGTTGTTCATCACACCACCTGAAGTTGTGGACTCACTTGTCCGCCTCTTGGCAATATCAGCTACAGAATTCTGGCTGCGTCTACTCAACCGCTTATCAGCATTTGCTTTTGATCCTTCAATACTTGTCACTTCAAGATGTTGATATTGATGGTATGATAACAGTGGTTGGTACACCTAAGGTGAGAATTGAATAGGCAAATAAAGCAGAAACTATACAAAATATTTGCTGTTAATTAGGGTGGTTGAGCTGATAGTTATTTTATGGATAGCCTAGATATTTTTTTTGCCAGCTTTCTTTTGGTTAGATGGTAGCAGATCCTGGCATGTTTCATTTTTAATGGATTTGCAGAGCGTACTTAAGAAAATCTGTATTTGTCCTTAAAAGGGTGGCTGGCAGGTTGTTTCTCTAACACTTTCCAAACAAAGAAAGATGGAGACTTCAATATCAGTCTTTTATTTAAGTTCGTGGTTCCTTTCCAAAATATATCTTATACTAACCTGCTTCCCTAACACTTGTGTAACAATAACTGATGGAGACTTCAATATCAGTTATTTTTTATTGTTTTTAAATTTTTTTAAGGTTTGTGGTTCATTTAACCAATATGTATCTTTTACTGTCTTGCTTCTCTAATACCTATCAAATAAAAAGAGATGGAGGCTTCCTTTCTATTTTCTTTAATATAACGTCAAGGATAAAACAGAATCTTCACCGGGATATTAGGGTGGTATATGGATATTCCTAACCCAAAAAGCTTTCACTGGTGCAAAGAAGATATGTTGTACTGGTTCTGGCATTAACCAAAGCATTCTAGTTAAGCGAAGCTATCTAGCCATCCATTGAAACTGGCCTCTCTCAACAAGTAAGTTCATTTCAGGGTTTCTCTTAGACTGCTCAATTTCATAGTGCATTTGTTTCTTTTTTTAAGTGCCTTTTTTATCTGCTTTTCAGGATAGGTCCAATATATATTATCTTCTTAGTCATATAAAATCCGTGCTGTAATCAGGGACTGCGTCATATCTATACTCAGCTGGGGAATAAATGGAAAAAGTTAGCTGTGCCTTCCGTACACAATGTTGCTGAACCAACCCCAGCATTTTTTTAGCCATTGTGGTTTTCTAAGCAAACTAATGTTCAGTAGTTTGCCATTGTTTTCTGCATTGTCGGTTCTCAATATCACTGCCAAAACCATTACAGCTGGGAAAACCTGACCTAACAAAGCGTAACACCTAAGCCACAGACACTGACCGTAATAGAAGCAGAAGAAAAAACTACCCTTACCAAGTTGAGCAGCTGGTCCAGCATAAACAGTGGATGGCTGTTTAGCAAACCATATTCTAGCTGCAGGGGCATGTCCATCTCTGCTTCCTCAATGCTCCCATAAACTGGAACCATTCCTGGGGTTGTCCTCATAAAATAGAAGCTGCTGGCCTTACTGTTGGCAATATTCTCTGGCAGGCAACCCCAGGCCATGTGCAGAGTTAGTATTTGATACCCCTTTAAATGTTGAGAGTTGGCAATAATTAAATGATAACCCAATGGATAACATCAGTAAAAACACAAAGGATATAAACATAACACTATGTACACAATTATTAGTTTTTCCATTACCACTTGACCACTTGCCAGAGTGTGAGACCTAAAAGGGAAAGCCATGCCCAATGCATGGTCTGTGGTACTGTCTTGCTAAGTCTCTGGATAAAAAATGTACCTATCTGTCTGGCCATCAAAGTCTCATACCTGTATACTGCTCCCTGCTGATCTCCAGAGGGCACAGCCCATGACGAATGGAAAGCTCAACATATGGATGTGAGGTTAAGCAGTCATGTACAGGACCTGACGATTCCTTGAGTGAGTCCAGAATTAGAGACTTATTTGTGAACAACTCTGAATTTATGAAAGCCTCCTTGGATGGCAGGCAATGCCCATGATCTACCCTTATCTTCCCTTGAGGGTCGACCTGTCTATATCCGGATACCCTAGATGGTGTCTCCAGGTACAATACATGTAGATAGGGAAACAAAGAGTACCACACAAATAAGGCCACAACATGTCCCAGTTCCACAAAACTATCTGTGAAGTTAACCAGGTCAAGAAATATTTGATGACGTCAGATGTGTCAGCTGAAAAGTGCAGATATCGCAGCCGTGCTGTAAACAGGCCAAATGCATTTATGTCATTTGGATGAATGAAAAGAAGAAAAAAATAAGGAATTATTGTTTGATAACCATGTCAAGTTGGGAACTGGATTCAAATAAATTAAATAAAGGAAAGCAAAGAAAATGTTAGGAGTTGGCAGTATAAAAAAAAAAAGATAATATTCAGAAATGACAATAAATAAAGGATAACATAGATGATAACCACTATCATAATACTTATTCACTTAAAATTTTAGGTCAAAATTAATGTCTGATAGACTGGCTGATTCTTTCGTATCTCAACAATCATGTAATATTTTCTTACATCTTACATTTAAACAGGAACTTGCTGAAAAAAGTCTAACCACTAAGCCACTAAACTTTTCCTGTGTGTATTTGGCCTGTTTAAAGTAATACACTTGTGATTTATTTTAGGGAATAATCATGGAATATCTGCCGTAGAATCTTCTGGGACAACATTTTTGCTTTCTGATGTCGCCAATCCCACATGGATACACACTTATGTAGTGAGTATGTGGGTTTGAATCCTGATACTGCACACAAATAGTAACAGCACAGCAGTAGTAGTAGCAGTAACTAGCAGTATTATTAGTCACAGTAGTAGTTGTAACTAGCAGCAGCAGCAGCAGCAGCAGCAGCAGCAGTATTAGTAGAAGTAACTAATAGCAGGACTAGTAGTAACTAGTAGCAGTTTTAGTAACTAGTAGCAGTGGTAGTAGTAACTAGTAGCAGTGGTAGTAGTAACTAGTAGCAGCAGTAGTAGTAACTAGTAGCAGTGGTAGTAGTAACTAGTAGCAGTGGTAGTAACTAGTAGCAGTGGTAGTAGTAACTAGTAGCGGTAGTAGTAACTAGTAGCAGTTTTAGTAACTAGTAGCAGTGGTAGTAGTAACTAGTAGCAGTGGTAGTAGTAACTAGTAGCAGTTTTAGTAACTAGTAGCAGTGGTAGTAGTAACTAGTAGCAGTTTTAGTAACTAGTAGCAGTGGTAGTAGTAACTAGTAGCAGTTTTAGTAACTAGTAGCAGTGGTAGTAGTAACTAGTAGCAGTTTTAGTAACTAGTAGCAGTGGTAGTAGTAACTAGTAGCAGTTTTAGTAACTAGTAGCAGTGGTAGTAGTAACTAGTAGCAGTGGTAGTAGTAACTAGTAGCAGTTTTAGTAACTAGTAGCAGTGGTAGTAGTAACTAGTAGCGGTAGTAGTAACTAGTAGCAGTAGTAGTAACTAGTAGCAGTAGTAGTAACTAGTAGCAGTAGTAGTAACTAGTAGCAGGAGCAGTGGTAGTTACTAGTAGTAGCAGCAGTAGCAGCAGCAGTAATAGTAGTAGTAGTAGTAGTTGTTGTATCAGCAGAAGTAGTAACTACCAGCAGCAGCAGTATTTGTAGTAAGTAGTAAAAATAGTAGCAGCAGTAACAATTAAGAGTAGTAGTTAACTAGTAACAGTAGTAGCAGTAGCCATAGTAGCAGCAACAGAGTAGCAGTAGTTACTAGAAGCAATGGAAGTAGTAAACTAGTACCTGTGGAAATTCATCTCCGAGCAAATTATGGTGTTAGATCTCAAAAAAAGAAGAAGATAAAATTGTCAATATTGTCACTGTGTATGGGCCAAATGAAGATAAGCGAGTAGATGTCAAAGAAGAATTCTTTGAACTGCTCCAAAGGACCACAGATGAAATTAGGATGAAATTATCCTCCTAGGAGATCTAAATGCCAGAGTAGGAAATGATCACTTTAGATGGGTTGGAGCGATCAGGAGATATGGTGAAGATTTTTTTGAATGATAATGGCGAGCGAATTCTCAGATTCTGCAGGGAACAGAACCTTGTCATTACAAACACAAAATCCCCCCACAAGCGTATACATTCACACACAAGATGTGAACCTTTAAAGAATGAAAAATATATCAGTGATTACGCCATAGTAAGGAAAAGTTCATTCAAGTTTGTGAGAGATGCCAGAGTCATGAGAGGACCAGAGACTGGAAGTGACCACTATCTGGTCACAATAAAGAGAACAACTGAAAGAACTGCTCCAGCAAGGCAACACCGACAACCATACAAGAAACCAAGAAGGGATGAGGATTAAGCATACAAGCTAAGAGAGCCAGAGGTTAAGGCTAGATTCCAGGAGCTTATAGTGAAAGCAATAGGAACTGAAGAAGAACCATCAGAAGACACTGAAACCTTCTGGTGCAGATTCAAGAATGTCCTTACTGCAGCTGCAGTAGAAGCATGTGGTGAAGTCCCAAGTTGAAGGCAGGGAAATAGGACACCTTGGTGGACAAAAGAAGTCAAATTAAAAATAGGAGAAAAGAAAATGGCATGAAAGCAATACCTGGCAGCCAGGAACATAACTGAAGAAATTGAGAAACATAAACAATATGTGGCACTCAGAACAGAGGCCAAAAATATTGTGCTTAAAGCAAAACAGAAATCATGGGTAGAGTTTGGAGAAAGGTTGGAAAAGAATGCAAGAGAAAATCAAAAACTGTTCTACAAGACCCTCAAGAACATGAGGAAGGAGAAAGAGTGCCCATGGAAATTTATAAAAAACAAGGAAGGGGCTCTGCTTACTACTACAAATGATATCATGGACAGATGGAAAGAATACTTCTCAGAGCTCTTTGGTGTTGAGGGAAGTCATGACCCAGAAATAACTGACCTCACTGCTAAGAAGGAAATCATCCATGGGAATGATAACATTATGATGGAAGAATTGAAGGCAGCTATTGAGAAGATTAAGCTGGGAAAAGCAGCAGGTCATGATGGTTTAACACTAGAGATGGTCAAATATATGGAAGTCGCAGGTGAGCGCCTTCTACTTAAGGTTCTCCAGGCAGCCTGGTGTAGCAAAACTATTCCAAAAGATTGGGAGATTGCCATCATTACACTTATATTAAAAAAAGGTGATAACAGACAATGTGAAAACCACAGAGGCATATCCCTCCTCAGCGTTCCTGGTAAAAGTTACTCTAGAATTCTCGAGCAGAGACTTAGAAGTCCAGTGGAACCGCACCTAGATCAGGCCCAATGCGGCTTCAGAGCAAACCAAAGTACTCCAGACCTAATCTTCACACTGAGACAGATGAGTGAAAAAACCCTTGAATATAAGAGTGAGACGCACCTATGTTTTTTGTTTTTTTTAAACTTGGAAAAGGCATTTGAGCAAGCTCTGGGACTGCTTGGCAGGAAAAAACATCCCAGCACGCCTGATAAGTGCAATACAGAGTTTCTACAAAAGCTGCCGAAATTATGTAAGAAGGGCAGACCAAAAGTCAGAAGAATTAAAGACTACCAGCGGTTTTAGACAAGGTGATATTCTCTCACCTTACCTCTTCATTCTTATGATGGATAAAGTCATCAAGACCTGTAAGGAGAAGACAAAGAAGTACTCTGTAGGGTACTGGAAGATGAGACCAATCTGTATATCAGAGCTGGCATTTGCAGACAATGTGGCCCTGATAGCTAAATCAGAGGCACACCTTCAGTCCATCTTACTTGTCTCAAAGGAAGAGCTTAAGAACAGAGGGATGACCATCAGTATCTCCAAAACTAAAACCAGTGATCTCAAGAGAGGAGAAGAAACACCAGATCATGATGGGACAGTTTGCATTGGAGCAGATCAATCAGTTCAAATACCTTGGGAGTTGTATTAGACTGAAACAGAGGCATTAAGACTGAGCTGGCTAGACGGAAAGCATATGCTGTGAGACTCTTCCAGGGCATAAACTGAGGGTTTCTTAGCAAAAGAGAAATTGGCAAGTGGAAAAAAATGGCTGTTTACTGCTCTACCTATGTACCAGTCCTGACATATGGGTGTGAGTCATGGGCAATGACAACAGCTCACAGAAGCCAGCTTCAGGTCTCAGAAATGAGATATCTGAGAAAGGTGGTCCAAGTGACAAGAAGGGACAAAGTCCGCAATCAGACAATACGTCAAGATCTTGATACCCAGTCATTACAAACCCGAGTGGATCAATCACAGTTACAATAGTTTGGACATGTATGCAGAATGGGAGAAAATCGGCCACTATGGCAGGCATGGGAGGCTAAGAATCAGGGAACCAGACCTCCAGGACGACCCAGGGTGCGCTGGGAAGACAACATTCGACAGTCCCTGACTGACAGAGGGCTGGAATGGAACAAAGTCAGAAAGAAAACTGCTGATAGAGAAGTCTGGCGATCTCTCTGGCAAACTTCTACACCTCAAGGTAGAAGAAGAGCGACTAAGTAAAGTAAAGTATGTAAATGTACAGATTGGTAAATAAATATATACAATACAAATGAAATGTCACTCAGTGAATCCGTTCATGTCCTTTGCAAAACCTTGCTCCCATTACAACCCTTTGAGAAACTTCTCGATCACAAGCAATGCATAAACAATTAATACTTTTAAAGATTACTTCTATATATGGTTATGGAAGTCGCTAAGCCCCATTTAAAATGTTGTAGGGCCCTGAGGGCAGAGACTAAGGTGGCGTAGTCTCTGCGCTCTGGCGCCCTCTTGTTTTTAGCAGCAGTAGATTAACTAGTTAATTATGTTAGTGTGTAAGTAATTGTTGTACAAAGTTATCCTATTCAAAAACTAAAGTATACAACTATTGGTACTAGCCAGTGAATAAAGAGAGCTGAAACACAAACAATATTCAACAGAGATCCATAAGCTCACTGGAAAGTCAACACTCTTAAAAATTGCTTCCCTCCAATCCGCTTTGGGTCAAACCGAACCAGAAAGAAAACGATCCATGTGTGTGTACCCCGACAGACGACAGAGAAAGAAAAGACCAAAGTGAGTAACATGACACACACTTTTCCACTGTTCTTCTGTGAGCAGTGATCAGTAATGACGCAGCTCTGATCAGCGGCCTCTTGTGTAGTGTGTAAACTGTTACCTTTTCTTATAGTTCAAGCTGTGTCGTCCTGGCAATCATTGAACGTCCACAGCCTTCTGGCTTGTGTGCTGGCAATCATTTCTAATGCAAAGATTCTTATATGGCATGATACCAAACTGTCTTACACCTCTCCCCCTTTCTCTCCTCTCTCTCTCTCTCTCTCTCTCTCTCTCTCTCTCTCTCTCCCTCTCTCTCTCTCTCTCTCTCTCTCTCTCTCTCTCTGCCTGTATATTTATGGAAGTGTGTGTTGTGTGTGTGTGTGAATGTGTTAATATAAATGTATGTCAATCAATAAATCATGCCATCTCCACAGTGAACGAAGGCTGCAATGAATCTCTAACACGCCCTGTCTCTGGTCCTGATTGTACACTCGACTGCTGCCCGTCCATCTCTGGATGTTGTCCTCCCACTTGTATCGTTGTCCACCACTTGCTCTCTTGCCTTTAACCTTACCCTCTAGTATGATTTTTAAAAGCGTGTTTATAAATACATGTATATGTGACATACATGTGGGGACTACAACGGTGTAGCGGCTAGCTGCTCGACTGCGGATCCGAAAGTCATGGATTCATTTATGAACGGAGTCGGAACTTTCTTTTGCTGCCAAAAATGACATTTGTCTCCCAGGTCGACCCAGCTTTAAATGGATACCAGGTGAAGTCATGAGAAGTAAAGGCGACCAGGGTGGCGCTGCCCGTATCACACACTGTATGGCGATTGGTCTATAAAATATAGATCTGGCACTGTATGCCCAAACGCTTGAAGGTGAGGAAGAGGGTCCATTTGTATGTGTGTGGTGTGTGTGTGTGTGTAATATGTATGCATGTGTATGGTATTTATGTGTGCGTGAATATACATATATGCGAGTATATGAATGTGTATGTTTGTATGCGCGTGTGAGTGTTCGATACAGCGCTGGATCGAGACATAATCTACATTTCATGACCTTACAATCAACAGGAACATCAACAGGGACTTCCACAGGGACTTCAGCCGGGACATAAACAGGGACATTAACAAGGACTTCAACGGGGACATTAAAAGGCACGTCAGCGGGGACATCAACCGCGACTTTAACAGGGACTTCAACTGGGACTTCAGGAGGGACTTCAACAGGGACATTAACAAGGACTTCAACGGGGACATTAAAAGGCACGTCAGCGGGGACATCAACAGGGACTTTATCATGGGCATCAACGGGGACTTCAACAGAGACATCAACAAGGACCAACAAATTCCCCCCCCCCCCCCCCCCCCCACAAAAATGCACTTTTCGTGTCCCATATTTAAACTGCAATTCTCTTTTAATACAGCCTTTATTGGAGGATTATGTAATTTATCGGTGGTTCTCATGTGGGATGCAATTTTTTTTTTTTTTTTGTTATTTGAAGCCCCACCCCATTCTTTTGCCGGGAGCCATGAATATAGCCGGGCCATAATTGTGGACTAACGACGGAACAGGGTTTCTGGGACCTCTCCACGAGTGATCCGCAGCCGCATGGTGGCACTTTGCGTCACCGGGTGTTTGTGGCTTGTGTGATGTCCTGGTGGGGTAGGTAGGTAGTTGTACCAAACTACCAGGGTACAACTACCCTGAAGAGGTCCCAGAAACCCCATTTCAGCCGTTAGGCTATATCTATGGCTAGGCCACATTTAAGACCCGGCTATATTCAGGGCTCCCGGAAAAAAACCCTGGGTAGCGCTTCAAAATAACAAAATATTGCATCCCACAAGGGGAGGGCTAATAATGGTGGGTACAACTTAGCTTACCTTTATTATATAATAAAGTGTCTGTGATTGTAGAAACACATTTAAAAAAAAAAGTCTTTCATTCCCTATGCTAAAAATTAAATGTATTTGAAAGGGGTATACACTTTAGTTTTATGAGATTAAGTAGTGTATTTTGAAACTGTAGGGGCCTAGAGCTGTATAGAGATAAGGGCAGGAAAATCAATGAACCGGGCCGACATTCTCAATGCTCTCGACGTGGCAGGACAAGAAGAGGATCAAGGAGACGAAACTGAATCGGCGACAATCAAAAGGCGACAAGAACTTCAGGTCAAATGAGGCGTCTCCAAACATGAACACTGCACAGGTAGCCAAAAACAAAGAGCTTATATTTGTCCCATGTGCAGTGAGGATAATCTGTCGAATTTTGAATGAATTTTGAATTAGGAATCTACATCAAAGCACTAGGGACACTCCCATACTCTTCATCCCAATCTTTAGCAGCACGCAAAGAGTTCCAATTCGGTTGGCATCAGTGACTGTCTGGATGCATATCAGTCTGGACTTTGCCCTGAGTGTTGAGCCTCGACCTGATCGCCTGTAACTCCTCGCAGCGTCATTTCCCTCAGACCATAGTGATCTATGTGTGCCCACGCATTGTTCACTCACGACCGGCTCCAGCTGATTGTGGTTAAAAAAAGGCCTGTAGATACTTTAAAGTTAAAATTTAAGTTGTCTTCCCTCTCCACTGTTGAAAATAGTTTATTTCTTGTTTGAGAACGGCTGTGTTAACGCATCGTTAGCCCCACCCGGTGACGTCAGCATCTGCGCCCGTCAGCTGAAGCAGGTCGTGGTTCATTTGCTCCCAAAGGACCCTCACAAGATCAGATTAATAAAACTATAGCTTAGGGCATGTCTATTCAACTAAATTTTCACAGGGGCCACCATTTCCGAAACGGCAATCGTCACAGACCAGATGGCTGAGCCCAAACATAGACAAATCGTCACCAAAAAAAATACCGATTCCGTGGCGAAATAGTCAAGCCGTTTTCCTGGAGCTCTGAAGGTCGTCGAGTTCGCGCCACAGCTGCACCCTTCAGTTCACGAGTGTAATTTCTATGGAAGTCCCTGTGGATCGTCGCCCGAGCTAAAGAGTTCAGGTTCTGAGCGGCGCTCTAGGCAGGCGGCTAGCCCTTCTGCGGAGAGAGACCGAGGCGTATTGGATAAAACCCGGTGCAATAAGGTCGATCCTCACTACTCTGGAGTTTAAACTGTGCGGTTGAACGTCAGTTGGTTCAATGGCAATGATCAGGGAGCCACTTGCTAGGCGGGCCGCCATTTGAATAGCCCTGTCTTGTGGTCTCATCATGCCCAAATCCGGTCCTGTTTTGATTTGTATGTAGATAAGAATGTGTGGATCTCCCTTCTTCGGGGTCTTTAATTTTATACGACCACATCACGCCAGCTAAGAAATTCGGTAGGAATCCCTAAGTATTCCTACAGGTTTCCGTGGACAGTACCATATTATGTGGGAGGGGGGGGGGGGGGGGGTAGGGGGGGTTATGATTAGGGCTAGTGTCAGATGAAAAGCGACTGCTATTAACCCTAAGCACTACCCCCCATACTCTATACTATGGGACGTTCTGGAGATTTCCCTACCAAACCTCGCAGCCGGCGGGATGTGGTCGTACACAAATAAAGAACCCTTGTATGTTTTAATGTACTTGACTTTATATTCATTAGATGTATATTGTTAGATAAACATAAACTGTCACTGTCTCTGCAGTCTGTTTTACCATATGTTAGGGCGGTGTGGACAGCGGGTCGTGAGCCTGGGGATCTAGGGCCGCCTGGACAGGGCTGTCGCCATGGACTGTGCAGGTTAGAACAGAAAAACTCCATTAACTAACTGAGGGTCGAGCCCGGATCTTCCGCATAAGAGCCCGACTTTGTAACCACTAGGCCAGCAGCTCAACTTATATAGACACGACATGCTTCAAAGATAGCATAAAGCTGCTGTAGCCAAGAAAAGTGTTTTGTATGGCCTAATGTAAGACGCGCCTGCGACCAAATTGGTGGCCTTTTGAAAGTGAAATTAGCTCGTTAGTTAGCCCATTCGTTTCTCTCTCTCTCTCTCTCTCTCTCTCTCTCTCTCTCTCTCTCTCTCTCTCTCTCTCTCTCTCTCTCTCTTACCTTTTCTCTCTCTCTTACCTTCCCTCTCCTAGCCCTCTCTCTCTTACCCCTTTCCTCTCCCCTCTTTTACCTTCCCTCTCCTCCCCCTCTCTCTCTTACCTTTCCTCTCCCCTCTCTTACCTTCCCTCTACTCCCCCTCTCTCTCTCTTACCTACCCTCTCCTCTTTTTCTCTCTATGTATCCACGTCTTAAGCGTTCTAGTCGTCACGAAATAATTCAGTTTTTCTTTTTCTTTTTTTATGAAGTGTCGTTCTTCTTCTTTGCGTTTACCGGCTATCAACTCCGAAGGAAAGTTCAGGTCGTTCGTCCCTCCCTGGACTGTGGTCTTGTTCCAGAACTTGAGTTTTGCAGATCTTTTTACAGATCTGGCTTATTTGTATGCAGACTGTCAGTTCCTCGCCTCTGGGGTACACACACAATTACTTTATGGAAACATCCCCAATTAGACGCCTTTTACGACATGTTTGTTAGGGGGTAGTGCATTCCCCCCCCCCCCCCAGACAGTGAATCACCAGAATTGGGGTTGGGGGTGGGAGGTGGGAGTGATGTGTCCAAACAATATTCACATTTTTAATTCGGGTAATTGGTTTTTGTGTGTGTGTGTGAGTGAGTGATCCATTTTCAGAATTGTCTGAACGTTGAATTGAAAAGTAAATGATCAAGGAAATGAATTTATCATCTCACAATGTACGCCTTGGACAAGACTTTGTGGATTTTATTTTCAAATCAAACCATATCAGTTACTTACGAGACAGATGTTCATTTTCTGCAAGTCCTCGGGAAATGTGGAGAAGCTCGGAATAATATTTGTATCTGAAGATTTATAAATGCAAGCTTTATGGAACCTTTAATATCTGTGACAAAATGACACTGCCGTTATTGAGTGACAATGGTAAAAACAAATATAAATAGTAGTGTGATACAACTAATCAGCCTGTGGGTCAATATACAGACAGGCATACGCACCTAGTTACGCCGGTAGGTATTGTATGTCAGTTGTTAGTAGGTAGGTAGTAGGTAGGTAGGTAAGTAGGTAAGTAGGTATGCAGTAAAAAGTAAATATTTTGCAGACAGTAGGTAGGCAGAGAGGTACTAGATTGGGCGGTAATAGGTTGGTAGGTAGTAGTTAATTCGGTAGGAAGATAGGTAGCAGGTAGTTAGAAAGGTAGTAGGTAGGAATGTAGAAAGTAGGTAGAAAGGTAGTGAGTAGGAAGGTAGTGAGTAGGAAAGTAAAAGGTAGGAAGGTAGTAGGTAGGAAAGTAGTAGGTAGGTAGGCAGAAGTTAAGAAAAAGATGTAGCAGGTATGCCGGTAGTAGGTAGATATATAGCAGGTTGGTAGTAGGTAGATATTAGGTAGGTACGTAGCAGGTAGGTTGGTATGTAGCAAAATGGTAGGCAACAGGTAGGTAGCTAGCAGGTAAATAGAAGGTAGATAGTGGGTGAGTAGCAGGTTTGTAGCAGTTAGGTATGTATCAGGTAGGAGGCAGCAGGTAGGTAGGTAGTAGCCAGGTAGGTAGCTAGGTAGGTAGGTAGTAGCTAGGTATGCGATAGGTAGGTAGTAGTTTTAGGTATGCGATAGGTAGGCAGTAGTTTTAGGTATGCGATAGGTAGGCAGTAGTTTTCGGTATGCGATAGATGGGCAGTAGTTTTCGGTATGCGGTAGTAGACAGTAGTTTTAGGGATGCGGTAGTAAGCATAGGTTTTAGGTATTCAGTAGTAGGCAATAGTTTTAGGTATGCTGTAGTAGGCAGTAGTTTAAAGTTTGCGGTAGTAGACAGTAGTTTTAGGTATGCTGTAGTAAGCAGTAATTTTAGGTATTCGGGGGTAGGCAGTAGTTTTAGGTATGCGATAGGTAGGCAGTAGTTTTAAGTATGCGGTAGCAGACAGTAGTTTTAGGCATGCGATATGTAAGCAGTAGTTTTTAGGTATGCGATAGGCAGGCAATAGTTTTAGGTATGCGGTAGTAGGCAGTAGTTTTAGGTATGCGGTAGTAGGCAGTAGTTTTAGGTGTGCGATAGCAGTCAGTATTTTTAGGTATGCGGTAGTAGGCAGTAGTTTTAGGTATACTGTAGTAAGCAGTAATTTTAAGTATTCAGTAGTAGGCAGCAGTTTTAGGTTTGCTGTAGTAAGCAGTAGTTTTAGGTTTGCTGTAGTAAGCAGTCATTTCAGGAATG